AAATGCCAAGATTAAACAGAAGAAGAGAAAATACGCTAATGACGACAGCGATGATATATCAACAATTTCTCACCTGCGCATGATTCTTCCCGAGCATGCGAATTAGGAATAATACGGCTAATGTTAAATTTTTACTTTATTTAAATTAAATAATATTTTTTTATATCGTTTTTTGTAAGATTTAAGCACATTAGTGTATCTAGGGTCAGATTCGATCTGTACAATTTCAACTATGACAATTTGTTGCGGGTTGCCTAAATATGTGACGTCACACTAAGAGTCAATTAGAAAAAAATAAATACTGGCTTTAGTGATTTATTGTTGAACTACACTTCTTATCTAGCTATCTAGAAAACAATACGTTCAGTATCATGGTCATATATCTAGGGAATTTCAGGCATATTCCGTATCCCAAGGGCCAAATTTGGGACCACTGTTATTTATTATATTCATAAACGATCTTTGTGACACTCTCACTATAATAACTTGTTTACATAACTGTCAATTATTTATTACAAAGTGAAACGGCATCATAAACTGGTGCTTTTCTAATAACTTCGATATAAATGCAAAGTACTTCCATTTACAAGGAAAATAAATCAAATCTTCATATTCATTTAAGGTAGAGCTTTCTATAAATCAGACAGTTAAAACCTTCTAAATTGACTTTCATCGCATTATTGCGACAACTAATTCTGGATTGAAAATTTTAGGATTCGTAATAAGAAATTGTAAGTATTATTGCTTTATGCGGTCCTTAGAGACTAGAGCAGAGACGTCTAATTGCATCTTTTAATATTGAAAACACTTATTTGTAATTAAGTCGATTGCCCACTATTGTTGTCAAAAATTAACTTTAAAATGCCTAGGATGGAATTTCATGATGACTTTTTTGTTTCTACATTATTATTATTATTGCTGTTACATTAATTAATTAAAATCGTTGATTTATTATAAAGTTTTAGTTTTATAAAAATACCAGAAACGGAGAAAAACAATGCTATTACAACCACAGAAGCAACTACATATAATTACTACAATATTCCCTTCCGCGTAGTGCCAATTGCTTGTACAATAGGTGCATTTTCTTCGCTTCCTTAGTTAAAATCATGGCAATTTAATTTTATTTTATGGCAGATTATTTATCATTTCTGAAAATCTCATGCTTTCGCAATATACTGATAGTGATAGTAATTATTTAAGGCTAAACACATTTATGCTAGCAATGCCAGCAATATTTATCTACTGACGTCATATCTGACGCTAAAGACTTTAAAAATTATGCTGTTGTAATAGCTTTCCCAATAAAATACGATTCACCATCAAAATGCTTGTTACAGTTTATATAATATGATAAGTAAACTCCTCGAATAACTCTAAAAAATAAATGACAAGTGCTTTCCCATGCGTTTGATAAAATCCGTGTCGTAGGAATCAGTCGCCCTAAATATTTGTGTAGTTTGTGCAATATAATATGTAATACTATTCAGTACTTTAAATTATTTGCATATATGATGCGTTCACTTTATGTTTTTTCCAAAAGCAGTAAAGTCAACAAATTTATCTCCAACGTATTTATTAACGATGATGACAAAGCAATGAACAGTCACTCTTGTTTTGGAAAATTTGACGAAATGGATAATCAGATAAGTATTTATCGTAAATATTTACTAAAAACTGAATATAATCCACTTTAAAAATAAACAATATAAAATTATTGCGAAATACAAATAAACAGAAATGTTGCTGCATTTTATCTTTCTCTATGTTCACGTATTATCATAAAAGATCCAAAGATAACATTATATGAGACACTTTTAATCCGCTAATAAATAATTTAGACTACACGTGTATTTCTGACGCCATTCAAAAGCTATTTAGTTACTTTTGGACTTCTAGAAAACATGTCTCACAATTACTATAATTATTATAGCGTCTTTTCCATTTATTTATTTTGATTCTATAACTTTTCTACACATGACTATTTTTAGTTCAAGAGCACTGTTTAATTACATCTGTTACAAGGACAGAACGAAGATCTGATAACCTTATCAAAGTGAATTATTTTGGAAGACTAATGTGATTGTAGTAGATTAGTTTGTATTTTTAATTTTTGCAGAAGCAGCAAAACTAGGATTTATTCAATGACAAACGTATCACAAAAATATAAACAAAAATAAAACTGATATCCACTTTTAACTGTTGCACTTATCATAACCCAAAATTTAGTTAGAAGTAAATACCATTTAAGACGGCTTATATTCTAAAAAATATTGTTGTACATATATTAATACCCTGTATATTTTGTCGCAGCGATTTGCGCATGATTTTGGAACGATTATTCTGTCTGGTCAAAACAAAAACAATTAAATAATCCTTCAGATATTTCTCCCAAATTCGTCGCGCAATATTTCTCAAGGTTTTTTAAGAGGTTGATAAAACCATAAAATCTACAAATAATGCTTCATGTTGTCTGTTACACGTGGCTATAACAAATAAAGCGCAGTGCTATGACCCATCAAAAGTACAGCGTAATATAGCAACAAATAGAATATAAACAAAACTAACTTGTTATTATTATGGCTCTCCGACGGTTTTCGAACTTCCGGTCGGCCGGTAAAAGAACTCTTGCCTGTGAAGGTAAAATAAGTCATTAATCTAAGCACCACGCAAAAACTAGTCATCGACTTTTTCACATTCCTATTTTCCAAAGCTTAGTGAAATTATACATTTAGTTACAGAACACTAGAACAGAGAATATTTATATTATTATTTGTATTAAATAAATAAATATCGGAGAGTTCCTATGTCAAAATATTTAAACAAATAACTCCTCAACCTCTTTTAGGCCTGGGAATGAAAATAGTAAAATAGTCATGTATGTACCTATGCCACGTGGCCAAACTAGTGATATCACAATATAAAACAAGTTGTAGTAAAACAAGCAAAGCGTTGCAATTTCTGCCACGTGTTCACTACTGTATTTATCATTCCCACTCAAAGCATTTAAATTTGTAATTTTCAAAACATTAGTAAAATCGAAGATGCAATCTGATTTTTTAAAGAAGGTAGGCCAATTTCTGTATCTCACAAGTACCGACATTCAAAACTTTTTCAGAATTACGGAGCTTAATAGAACAAATACATAGAATTGATTATTACTCATGATTTTCATTTCATGTTAAAATTTGCCAAATCATTTAGAAATCCACTTTCTAGAATACAACTGGTTTTGCTAATCATCAGCAACTGATACGGGCATAAAGATTTAGTACTTCAACAGAAAACATCACATAAGTCAACATTTCCTTAAACTGAATTTTTGCAGTGGCGATGAAATATTTACTTATCTGTACAAACGCTTACTTTACTATACTTGGAATTACAATCAACACTGTGATGATTACGCATGTAGATATGACTTATATAAACAAATACTTGGGATAATTTAAAAACGTGATGTATCTCAATTCTTTACAATAAATATAACTTTATATTTTAAAATGACCTAGAATTCGTCTTTGTCAGTCCACGGTTCATAAAAACATGTCATTGGCCAAATTACGTTCGATAGTCATATTTCACTGTTGCGATTTTCGAAATACGATTTAGAAACACTGACTATGTTTTCTTGTTATTTTTTATATATTTTCATGTATATCTTATTGTATAAAATACATAATTAACTAAAAAATGGTGTAGTTCTTGAAAACATTTAAAAAAAAAACATCCAACAAGGACGCAAACAATAAACTTTCATACATATACTGGTTTTATATGTACTTGGATTTCAGTTATTTGTATGCAATTTTGTAAACGAAATCAATAAACAACTATTAATGAGAACTTGAAAATGATATCAGATAATAGCTCATATCTATTAACAAAACAATATTCACTTAATAGGTATTAGTTCACTTTCTAACAAAGAATACTTGTAAATACTGTAAATATCATTGTTATATACAATAACACCATTTTAATATACCTGTAAATGTATTAGTTTTATTGATTCTTTCTGTAAACAAAATCTTTTATTTTTACTCAGAAATTTTTGCAATTTTATTTCTGTCGTCCATTAACCGTTATTTTGTAATTCACAATGACATATCAAGTTTTTACTGGAATGTCTTAGTTTGGATCCGATCTATTATTTGAATTTTGTATCATGTAAATTTAATACAATTTTTTTTTCAGTTATAAAATTTCTGTGATAAAAATCACGAGTGGTACTCTGCCACTTAATAAATTTTTATAGAATATCAGTTTTAGACAAATCTTTTTAAGAGTAGATTAATAAAAGCAACAGTTCTTCAACAATTTTTTATTCTGGACATATGATATACATGCAAAATGTCATAGAACAGACATACATAAAGTATACATATGTACACAAATATATTGCAAATTGTAACAAAAACGTACATAAATAGTTAAATAAATACTACATATTCTTTTCAGAAATATGTAACACAAAATCAATGAATAATTAATTGAAAATCTCTAAGAGGACATCGAACGATACAAAAAGACGTTGAAAACAATTACGTAATTAACGAAAACCCATTTTGTCCAAATGAATTCTAATCCTAAAGAACACAGTCAAATAAATCAAATGCAAATCTAAATTGAAAATCACATTTTTTCGCATTGAGTAAATAATTTGATGCATAACAAATATTATATCACAAGAACAGCAATAAATCAGTTCGGTATAGTGCATTTTTAATTAAAATACTTACAAATGCTTAACTGACTAAAAATAGTTTAACAAATTTATGAATTTGAATATATAAGCAGAGTAATTCTGGAATAAAATTAGAATTTTTCCAATTGCCATTCGAACCAAGGTAGATTTTATAGATCAACATTGGGGTACAACTCTAATACCATAGTTGATCTCTAATTATTTACAAACTAAATTTGATAACTACTTATTTATACACCTACCTAATTTACTAAGTTACAAACATATCTAAGAATTTAAAATATTCGATTTCTTTTTTTTTTTAATTTCTTAGGTTTGTTTGTATTACCTTCCCTGCAGCCTCCAACGTTTATATATTTACTATTGATAAATTGAGGAGAAAATGACAGGGAGGTCAACTAGACTTCAATTATTATGTTACAGAAACAAAAACATTCACTACATAAATAAATAATCTTCGGTATCAATTAGATATTCGGACATTAATACATTAATGAATGACCCTGTGTGTGTCCGATATTTATTGATACCCATGTTCTTACTACGAAAGTTGACAAATTTTATACTTTTTGTTTTGTACTTATCTAAAAGGTACATATTAGTAATTGAGTTTCTATAACATAACAGAAGTCAATTACAATCACAGATATGGAGTAAATTTAAAGTTGTGTGAAACCTAAATTACACTAAAATTTTATTAGAGTCCGGTAAATTTATTAATTAAGCGTATAATAGCATTTGTAAAATGATCTCAGATTCAAACCTTAAGCGTATAATACTAAGATATAAATAACCAGAGATGAAAAAACCATACCAAAACAAATGATGTTAAATTCCAGATTCCAAACTGTTTAGTATATTTAATTATATACCTAACATCAAGATAAAATTTCATGCAACTATTAGATGTTTACTGACAAATATTACTTGTCTATTTTTAATACAACCACCGGAAATAAGTCTTAAAAATGAAAATCATTTTCCGTTGTTCTTTGGCTTTTCTCTGGCTGACGCAACTATCCATTTTCACTCATCACTCACTACCGAAAAGGAACATATGTAATAAATAATTAATAAAAAAAAGTTTAATTTTCCTGTGGGAAAAATCGTAACACAGGGCTTCTAGATTCCTCGTCGGAATCGTAAAAAAATCGTTGTTTTGGCGTTAAACCAAGCTTTACTCTTCTAACCGCCTCACTTACTAAACTACCATCTCTTAACAATTTTTGTAATAATTCATAGGGATCTTCGTTTGAAGGATCCTGTTGCGGTCTGCGTTTATTTTTCCTGAAACAACTCGACCCACACGAATTTGAATCACAACAGTATTTTCCTGGTAAGCGGTAGGGAGAAGCTCTCGACGATTTTCTTGACAGATGACTGCAGGGTAATGCCTTCATTGTTGTAGCCGCGGTAGACAATCGAAGATTTTCTTTTATTTCCAATACCAAACCTTCCACATCCTTAGAGGAGATATTAAATTCGGGCCCTTTAATTGGATTGGCCGTATTCATTGTTGTTGTCATTGTACGCATATCGGCAGACGGCATTTCTGGCATTAAATACAGATGGTATCGGAGATTTGCACTGTAAACACTGCTAGGTACTTTGTATCAAAACAAACTGTTTTGTTACCGGACGTGTCCGCTCACAGCAATGATCTCTAAACGACTGTAGCGCCAGTGTAACGTGGAACGTAAGTATACCAACCTCATTAGAGCTTGTTTGGGTGCTTTCACAAAAACATACGCCAACGAAAAGTAGTTCCATGTAAACATTGACCATTACAACCGGTAAATTTGCATTAGTGTGCAATGTAATCACGAATTCTAATAATAAAAAGTCGACAATGCATATCGTGCACAGTTTTATATAAAATAAAGCTTAATTGCAAAATATCACATTATGTAAACATTTAGGTCTTCGCGTAGGGACAGTAAATCAAGGTTACGTTACGTCTATGTTTAACGAATATAAGAATGGTAGACAGTGACGTCAGCATAGTGGGGGGCACTATTTATTTACATTTTTCGGTATAGGCGGGAGGGAAGCGGAAGCCAAAGCCCTAGAGTATAAAATTGGAATGTTATTGGTAAAGTTGTTGTTGTTTATTCTCAATTAACACAAACCAGAAAGATCTGCTAGAAAACCAGTTGATTTTTCTTAGGTCAAAGTATACCTAGTCCTATTTCATTTTATTTGTCAATAACTCAATAACAGTACTTTCATGAGAGTACTGTTAAATTTAAACTTACCTTTATACCTACTTAGGTAGGTAAGATAAACTAAGTTGACTTGATTTAAAACAATAAATTTAATGAATAACGTACATACATATATACCTATACCTACTACAATGAAGTACTTCGGTCCCTAAATTTACTATAATAGATAATATAACTAAAAATAAAATCCAGTTGTTTCTAAATTTGGATCATTGCAGTTGTTGAAATAGTATACTGCCTATAAAATGTTATCAATCACAATCAGAAGTAGGCGTAGGTTTTATTTTTTTTTCCAGAAATCTACATAAATGTACCAATACCAATGGTCCTACATATTTATTAGCAATTAATATTGGGAAATAGGTAGATAATATTTTTTTTAATCACTTTAGGTTTTAGATTTGTATTGTTGTTTTAAATGGGTGGCCTCTTCCTCTACTTCAAGTTGACTACCGTACCGTACTTGCTTTAAAAATTTTGACCTTTATTTTGAAAATTCCCTATTGTAATACAGCGACATCTTGCGTCCGACCGTGCAGTTTAACTTTGTCTAACACGAAGATCACTATGCTACTGTGATAGTGCGCAATTTTATCTATTCAATTTCCAATTCTAAGAAAAAAAATTAGGTTATAATATAAAAATATATAAGGTTAACCTAAGATGTATATGTTATTTAAAATATTGAACGCAAAAATTTCTCAAACTGTTACAACTTCTCTGCTCAGCCGCAATATAAATGTATTTATTATACAAGAAAAAAAGTGAGGTTATATTTTAACAGTATAATGATATTTTAGCCATATATTTTGAAGCCTGCATATTCACAAAGTCGAGGTCCAGTGACGGAGTCAGAAATATTGGGTAAACTACGCCAAACGTTTCCGCAGGCTAAAGTTATTTCTGTAGAAGATACTTCAGGAGGTTGTGGAGCGATGTTTAATATCTCAATCGAAACCAATGAATTTAAAGGTCTATCTATCATGAAACAACACAGAATGATATACGATACTTTAAAAGAACAAATTCAAAGCATACATGGGCTTCATTTAGAAACAAGAGCTCCTAAATAGCTACGATCAAGTGATATATCCAATGCTGGGAACTGTATTAATTTTTATCTAAGTGAATATAACGTATTTGCATTGAAGTAAATAATAATTTATTATTAATCATATTTGTCTTAAAATATTATCACTGTTACAGAAAGCAGAATAACTATAAAAAAAATGTTATAGTATTGACTGCAGTTTTATAGTAATTACATTGTCCTGGCTGGAATAGAAAATGCCAGTTATAAAAAAATATGTATCATATATGTTTATAAAAAGGGAACACTGTAGAATTCAATTTTGAGTCTATTGTTTTATAACGATTGTAATTCTGATTGAATATTAAACATAGCAAATTAAAAAAAAAACATATTACTTACAGTTCTGTAGAAGTACTCATTTTTCCTTGCACTAGATGTAAAAGCACTATAAAATATGTAAAAGTTTATATTATGCTATCCACTATCATTTAAAAATTATTTTTTAAATTACACAAAAACAACTATAAAACTTGATTTCATAATTTTTTTAATTTATGATCATTTATACGAAGTATTGCTATTAAAAAATAAACTAAAAAGTAATAAAAAATAATAGGATATGAATCTTCAATCTTTGACATTCGATGACACATGTGTAACACTATAGTATAGGCAACTGGATATGCAAGATTGCAAGTCGTATAGAAATGCAGTTTAACAAGAAATGAGAAGAAATAGTATTTTAGTGTATTTTACTAATCGTTGTGATAATAATAAAGATGCTAATTCCAAGATTATTTATACTCTTAGAAACAGACTGCCTCCTTAATCCTTAACCAACAAAAACAAATAATGATACATAACCGCAATTGAGAATTTTCAATTCGTAAACTTTACCTGATTCCGATCTGAACTACTCCTGATCCCTGATCCTATGTTGCTTTTTAATTATTTGTGTACTCGGCGGCCGAAATTATAAAGAGTGACTAATACATAATATAAAAACACTATTACCATAATGCGTATAAAATATAAAATGATTTCTATACGGTTGAATATTATTTATCTTTGTGCCGCTCCATGCACATCGGTAGAATCTATAATCGTGTATAGACTGAGTTACACTGACCGTCGATCTATATTTTATCTCTGTCTTTTGCATTTGGTAGGGAATAGGGAAATGCTTTTTTAGTGGGTGTAAACGGACTTGATTTGCCCGACCTGAGAAACGTCATAGCATAAGCGTAGACGAGGGGTCTAATTCCATGGCTATAATAAATTTATAAATTAAAAAAACACAACTGGGACGTTTTAAAATGCTGTAATAATTAAAATTGATCAAGGTGCCGGTTATAGCAAACCGTAAAAAATATTAGATGTTATGTTTTATTATGTTTTTTCAATATTTTATATATCTTGTTCCCTTTTACGCAGACACGCCAATGGATTTTCGTTCCCGGCACGCTTCATCCCCCTTACTAGTCTAAGAGCTAGCGATGAATCACTATCTATAATTTTGGCCGTCGAGTATAGAATAAAAATATTTATCATAAATAAAACTAAGTAGTAACAAGGATCTCTAGTGCTTTTTATTTTCATAATACATACTTTTTTAAAACTGCAGCTTGTCTGTAGCAACCTTAGAGCATATACTACTAGAGGCAGAGTCCCAGTGGCCGAGAGTGTAGCCGCCTCTCCCCCATCGCCCAATCCCCCTTATCTCACGGTGCTAGAGAGAGATCCTCCTCTCCTATACCTCTCTGTCTCTACAACCTCCGCTACACTCCCGGGACGCTGCCGCCAGTAGTATATACAGGTTCGGAAAGTCCCCATGGTACATCGGCCGTTACATGAGAGCGATAAAGTAAGTCATAGAAATCCGTGCGATAGACAAGGATGGTTACACCGAAGATGTTTCATAATCTGAATAGTCACTCCCACTTCTAAGCCGAAACGGGCCGTGACTATTCAGATTATGAAACGTCTTCACTATAGCCATCCTTGTCTATCGCACGGATTTCTTTACTTTACTTTGTCGCTCTCATGTAAAGACAGATAGACCATGTGGATTTTCCAACCCTGTACATGCTTTAAAGTAGCAGAAATGACGTTGGATTCGGCTTTCACTAAGCAAGAAGAGCGCCAGAAGAAAGGGCCCTAGCCGGCGGAGCCCAGCCAGGACGAAAGGAGCTCCCACAAAGCGCCTACACCGGCCGCATTTGCGGTCGGGGTAGACGACGGATGGGGCCCACCTATGAAGGCTGTCCAGGCCTACACGAGATGAGGCAGGATAAAGAGGGATAATCCTCCTCGATCCCAAATCATTGATGCCAATTTCTAGTCATGGAATAATGGCGCGGCTTGCACTTCTTCCCAATTTCTATTTTTCTCCTGTACGGAAGTATCTAGGATATTTATAATACATGTATTATAAATATCCTTGCGGAAGTATTAGGGGTTTTATTCATTTCCTGTAACATCTTTGTATTTGGAAAAAATATTAAACAACGCTATCTTTTCTTTTTTTTATGAATTTACACTACCTTTCTGTTTCTCGCTCAGTTTTAAACAACAAAATCTTGAAATTACCATGATTACAACACAGAATAGAAATTTTCAACAATAAATATCATAAATTGATATTATATTTATAATTAAGGTTATGATTATAATATGAAATTGATATTGGACCGAGATGAATAAAATACTAATCTGTAAGTAGCAGTTCATTTTACCAGTTTAACAAAGCTCACCCTAAATATGAGCGGTGCAATACATCAAGAATAAACCTTACTTAAATATTAAAAAGGCCCTATATAACTTATTTTATTACATTAAGCATTCATTTCAGTGACGTCATACTTGGTCAAATGTGTTAAACTACACTTATGATTGTTCGTGAAAAATCTAATTACATTACATGGTGGCATGACATCATGGTTCGTTGCTGATTGGTCAAACTTAAAATTGAGATTTGAAGTCACTATAAACAGTTTTTTGTACATTTATATGATTATATTTTTTGATACATTTATCTGCTACATTATACAATTTAGATTTAATAGAAGTCAATAACCGCGCAGCTTAAAAGTTATAGAAAGACACAAATCTTCTTTTGGATTCGTTATAAATACCTACAGATCTTTCTTTTCCACAAAAAACATGCCTTATTATTTGATTTAACTAAAAAAAGTTTTAAGTCGTATTGCGTTTGTGATTACTTGTGTTGGTATTACAATTATTTTCAAGTTGCCAGATTGGACCTATAAGTTCAAGTTGAATCTAACAAAAGAATCGAGTAGGAGTTTTTTGTCACCTGAATTCAATTTTTTTGTTTAGTTTTCTCCATTTAGTTGTGCGTGTCTTCACTGTGCGGCATATTGTGATAATTTGTAATATATAAACATTTTAGTGACGATAATGTATGTGTGTGTGTATAACAGAAAAGCTGAGTCTATACTCTAGTGAGTAAAGCAAGTATGTTTTGAATATTTTTTGTAATATAATTTTATCGCAAACAGGTAAAACCATGAAACAGTTCTCTCAAAGCAAAAGTCAATCAAATCTGGATCCAGAATCATGGACAGAAGTTGGTAAGTTTTTAATGTAGTAACATTCTTATTGTGTTTTTGAGATACAATGTACATAGACAGGTACTTACTTACTTATACTAGTCATAGACACCTAGTTATTGAAGATGCAATATTAAAATTTGAAATTACAATTTGAAGTTATGACTAATATTTGAGAATCTGAAAGTTTAGAAAATACCTTTAAATTTATCTGACTGTAGGAGTAGTTACATTTTATAAACAGATCATTTTGATGTGTAAATACAAAGTATATTTTATAGGTATTCATGTAGGTATGTATTCAAATATGTCCTCCTTCACATAGTACTTAAACTATTCAGAAATAATAATTGAATTGCTAGAATTAAAAAAAACTTATTCAACTAATCAAACAAAAAGTGGGATTTATTTATAGTAAACAGTATACTGTAAAAATGTACTTGTATTGTAGTGGTTATTGATTTAATTTGAAAGATTTTCAAGGTGTGTTTCCTGTGGTAATACAAGAATTCTTAATATTTTAAAGTAACAGCCATAGCAGCCGGCTATTATTTAATAGATGGCGCAAGTCACAAGGCAAAAATACAGTGTGGCCAATATAAATTGGGAACAGTGCTTGCTGTCAGTATCGTTTAAAAATTCAAATTATTTTCTTTATACATATTATTATGTATTTCCTAATCTGCCACCTTAGAAATAATGAAATATATGGTGGTTATTAGATTTAAGATATTTAGTGAAAACAATGTGATTGAGAGAAAATATTTAAATTATTTAAATTCTCTGTACACAGTACATAAATAAGATACCAATCAATGCAAAAAATAGGTTCAAGAGCTAAAAGTCACTCAAAATAAAATTTGCATTTTAAAAATGACAAAAAATATTTTTCCAGTGGCGTGCCTTAATTTTTAAGGAAGGTAGTCTCATCATCATATCTACATCATTGATTTGAGGTGACAGTTAATTTTATCGCGTTGAATGCCATTTTATTTATGCATTGTGCATTTTATTTATGCATCTTTTAATACTTTTGTTTTAGATATACCTGTAACATTTTTGATAAGACGTATGGTTTCAAGGGCAAATGTATATATAACTAAATATATATTCTTAAATTTAGACGAGGAAAATGTTCCTTCATTTTTGACACGTTGTAGTATTACATATTGTACCTATTGTACCTAATAGTACCTACATAAAATTTTCGTCAAACATAATTAAAGTGATCATATTTTTATAATGAGGCGTGATAAGTTCTAGATGCACATAAAGAACTTTCGTGACAAAAATTTTCGAACCAAATTTGCGAAATAATAAAACATTAAAATATAGGTGGCTAATCCAGATCTCGAAAAGCGTTGCACATATGTAAAATATATTATTTTCATAGTCAACTGAAAAATACAAACCGATGGTACCTTGTTTTTGGCAAAATTTCCATTTTTTATTGAGTTATGGCATGAGGTCTCAAAAATGGAACGTTAATAAAAACATATGGCATGAGCAACCCTTTCCGATATCTACGGGTGAGATACCCCTATTTTAATGTTTTATTTCTCAAATTTGATTTTATTTATATAAGCGTAGAAATCATCCCCTAACAAAACGGTATGGGTCCCATGCTTCATTATCAAAATATGACTACTTTAATTTTCTCGAGCCGTCACTGGGTCAAGCTGAATAGAAAACTGTAAATGTGGGTATTTAAAACAAGGGTGTAAGTGCATATTTCTACAAATTTGTACGACACCTATTTCACGGCATTATCCTTGATTATATAACATAGTTAGACGACCAGTCAAACTTAGGTATGAAAATACTAGATGGCGACTCTCTTATAATATCTCTGGCATTTTTATTTATATTTTCAACAAGGGTCACATTATGGATTTTATAGGACAGTCGCCATCTAGTATTTCTCTATCTAACTTCGATTGGTTGTCTAACTATATTATACCGTTGAGAGAGAAATACTATTTCTCACTGAACGAATAAATATATAAACAAGCGTATTATTGATAAAGTAAAAAATCAATGCAGCAAGAACAGGTTGTCCCTTTAAAATTAATCAATAGTTTGGTTTACGCTACTGGCGGGAAGATTGCGCTGTGTTTATAGGTCAGAAAAAAAGTACGCCGAAAGTTCCTAGTTTTCTTTTTAACCAAGCTTTAATCATTGTCTATGTGTTATTAATTTGTCGTATGTGCGTTTTGCATGATATGTAGCTTATAAACATTTCGCGGACATGTAGACGTACTTCTGACTGCCCTTAAAAATCAAATATTGTTCAAATATTAGTATGTTATGTACAAGTATGTTCTCCACATCAGTTATCATTTATAGTTTTGATAATAATTATCTACCTTCAAATTTTATTTTTTTTTTATGGGAAAGAGTACTATTTAGTACAATTTGGTGGCTAGTTAATATTAAATTTTCTAGTCTCTTTCTAAAAAAATTATTTTGACTAAAGAGCTGTTATACTTTTGTATTATTTAATGATATTTTAATCGTGGTAAAGGGGACGAGTTTTGTAGGAAATGAAACGACTTCTTGTAGGTATTTATTGTTATTTTTATATTTTCTTTAAACAAATGAGAAATTGATATACCAGAAATATCGTACAGTACAATTTTACATGAAGATAGTGATGGTTTATTTGCAAAAACCGAGATGAAAAGGGATTGCGAGCTGTAACGCTGTTTTATTTTTAGATCTAGACCTAGTTACGGCCAAACACTAACTTGTAACGCCGTATCGTTATTCTACTTTTGATATGTAGTAACCTATGTTATAAATAATTAATATTTAAATACGTGTGGTCCTATCCACACTCGCTTGACTCGTTTCAACTCGGTAAATAGCCAAGATGTCAACTGACAGATACAAACAAGATATAATGTTTCATTGCACCCAAACAAAATATTCAAACAAAAAGTTGCTTGCAGGGTGACATAAGAAATTAACACACTATAGAAATGTATTCATTATTATCAAAGTAGAAATTTTAAGTTAAAAGAAACGCCATGATTACTGTTTATTTCAATAGTCATTACCAAAATGTAATAATTATGTACTGTCAGTTTGGCACCTAGGCTGAAACAAAATTTAAAATGGGAAACATATTTTCATGCAATGCCAATGCCACGCTTAATCTATCTAAAACTTCTAGATATAGTTAATAAATCTGAACTAAGGTACTATCACATGTACGCGAATGTATTTGGCAACTCTGATGGCAGAAACATTAAAAAATGGCGCGTTAAGACGTTTCGCTCACAGCACGCACCCTTCAGAAATGGAAAATGTATCATATATCAGTATTATATCTTACCGGGCACAAAAAACAGAACATATACGGGGTGTTTTCTAGGTTCCAACTTCAAAACGTTGTTCCTTGTATCGTTTTAGATTAAAAAGCTCCAGTGGACCAAATACCTAAAACCGCTGGTTTTCGAGATGTTGAGAGTGTTAAAAAATATCATTTATTCGAATATCTCCTAAAATATATTAAAATTAAAAAAAATTAAAACCCAAACAAATTATTGCCTTAAATTTATATGTATTTCTACATCAATGATTTTTTGGACTTTTGATGGTTGTGTTTAAAAAGTAATATCTTAAAGACCGTCCATTTTTCGAATAAAATGTCAGGTACCTTTTTACTTAGAAATAATTTTAAAACTCAAATACACTTATCCAATTTACAGAAAACTCAGCAACGTCCGAATTACGGGGTTATTATAAATATGCTTTAATCAATGATATCCAACTTTCATTAATTTAATTCAATTCAAGCATCTTTAGAGATATTTGAATACCCTGTATCTTAAAAATCAGATTCATAGTTCAATGAGGATTTTTGAACAATCTCCGAGATAGATTTAGAAAGCACCCTGTATATTTTTTGACCAATCAAAAGTGTAGCACTTTTTACTTTCTATATGTACTTTCTTACAATTTCTGTAGATAATATCCTTTCTTCATTTTGCATGACTGATATAAATAAACTTTCGGTTTCCTTTGTTCTGAATGTGGCAAGCGAGAATTTGAGCATATCGTATACTCGGATTGCGGATTCCTCTGCAAGGAATGGAGTTACTGTGAACGGTCTTAACAAAAAAAATGACGTGAACATAAATAAATAGTGTAAGTACAGACTGAAGTGAGCGAATATTTCGAAATTAGCTGTATGTATTATGTATACGAAAACGTATCTACTATTTATACATTGATATATGATTTTATTTTAGATAATGATATGGAATTAAATATTCCTCATAAAGATAGAATATAATAGCACGGATGCTCAACGATAATAATTTACAATATTGCTTATTTTACATCACTATATGAGCGCAACGATACTTTTAAACACAAATAATAGGAGCACATTGTGCAATTTGGCATATTTGTCGCACCATTCTCGTTCTATAGCGCGCACATAGCAACTGATATGCTAAATAAACTGATGGTGCGATAACTTTAATGTCTATGTTAATCTTTGGCTTTGCCAAGTTTTAGTCCACCATAACAAATAACCCTGTATTAATAAAGAAACCAAGATCTATTCTGATTATACAACATTCGACACCCTCATGTCTAAACAATAACAGTACACTCTCATTCGCTAACTTTTTCCATATGTACACACAACACACGAAATTTACAAAATGAAACAGTCATTTATTGAACCTAGCAACATTACTCGACTAAATAGTCTAATCAATCCAGGATTCAGCTTACTTCTTTTTTGCGTTTTATAAACGAGAGTACGGATTCGAGCATTCTATTGTTTTTTTTTTAACCGTTCACTAGCACTGTCACTATGCGTCTAAAATGTTTGACTCCGTGTGATCCGATGCTATTGTAAGATCCTCTGCTACGTTCTCCGTATGCTGATCGTGATCTAGATCGTCGTATTCTGAGATCATTTCCCGTTTTATCACGTGGTGCATTTGATCCGGCTCTCTAGTGATGTGGTGATCTTGATTCATAATCTCCTGCTTAACGTGGAGACCCCCGTTCATTGGCGACCTATATCACCCATAAACAGGCTTTATTCTCTATTATGGAAATGTTTATTTTCGGAAAAAGAAATGAGCAAATTTCATTTTCTCATATACAGAGCATATCGCAGATAATGTAGCTTCTCAATGCATGGTACTTATATAGCTTACCCTTTAGGAACTTGTGAGTAGACTCATAAAATTTTTTACTCATAGTTTTCGGACACCCTGTATTTAATAACTTCATCTTGGAACGATAAGTTTTATACGTATTTTTTTTCTGCATTTGATAAGTTACATGACCTCCCGTGTTTTCCAAATAAACCCTTTCGCTAAAAAAATCGGTCACGTGTTGTTTCTGTGAAAATAGTTTTGTCTTACCAAAAATCATACACTGACAAAAGCAGACAAATACAAGGAACTCATCACTTTATATCGCGCACTTTAAAAGGTTTCGAAAAGAAAATTAAAAGAGACCGCGATTATTTTGTGGAACGGCGAAAGAAGTGTTTCAAATTATCTTGTGACCTTGGATCTTTGTTGGCTACAAATTCTAAATGATGAAGTAAGTCGTAATAGAATAACATCATATGATATCTCTAACTATGGAAACTAGTAAAACTTATACTGTCAAAAATAATTATAAACAAAACGCCAGAAGACGAAAACAAATAGATTTTGAAACGTTAACAATTTTTTAAAGGCGCGATATACAGGGTGTTAAGGATAAGTTTTGCCAAACTTTATTGGCGTATTCTACCGATGAAAATAATCAACATTTGCCCTATAAAAATTTTTCATAGGACGCTTCCCTACGGAGATACAGGGTGTTAAAACTTTCAAGTATTTTTCCTGTAACTTTACTGGCAAAAAATATTTAGTGATAAAATTTGGGGGATGGCATTTCTTTATTTTATTTATTTATAAAGGCTAGTGTTACATACACATAAAAGTGTTTACAATAGGGACTATTTTTTCATGGATAACTTATTCCAAAATACACTCCAGTGGCGTAGATATTGGGGCAGTAGGGGACCTTTTTTGAAAAAAAATCGTACGCCACTGGTTTTTTAAATATTTTTAAAATGTACAATCAATTTGTGGCAATAAAGTATTCTTGTAAAGTATTCGTAAAATTTACTGGTCTTTAGATAATTGGAAAATCAAATAAGAAGATACTTAAGTACCTACCAATTTATCATTTGATCATTTGATTTTCCCATTATCTAAAGATCAGTAAATTTTACAAATACTTTACAAGATTACTTTATTGCCACATATTGATAGTATATTTTAAAAACATTTAAAATTATTAAAAAAAACCGGTGGCGAACGATTTTTTTTCAAAAAAGATCCCCTACTTCCCCAATAACTACGCCATTGGAGTGTATTTTAGAATAAGTTATCCATGAAAAAATAGTCACCCAAATTTTATCACTTACCTAATCTTTTATGTCAGGAAAAATAATATAAATATTTGAAACTTTTAACACCCTGTATCTCGGTAGGAAAGCATCCTATCAAAAATTTTTATAGGGCAAAACTTGATTATTTTCATCGATAGAATACGCCAATAAAGGAATGTATTTTTTGGATATTGCATTTGGCTGCATTTTTTAATGAGGAAATGTTTCGATTGGGCAAAACTATCTTCACAAAAAGGCGCAAGGGTTTATTTCATTACTTTATGAGAAAAAGCACCCTGTGTATGGAAGAAAACACTATTTTTGGTGTATATAAAGAAAAATAAATTTTATTAGATTTATACTGGGCTTTTAAAACATAATGTAACAAAAGAAACGGTTCCTAGATATAGTAACCCGAAATTTTATTTATTAGTTTTCAAAGACAATTATTGAACGCATTATACAGGGTGTTTTGTAAGTCCTTGCAGGAGTTTATAGTACAAGTAATTTGTGATATATTTCCTTAATATACCATATTCCGAAAACGCTTAGTTTCCAATCTACAGGGTGTTAAAGTTTTAATAAAAAAATGCAAATTTATAAATATTGCGGAAACAGCTCAAAATATTTTAATGAAATTTCACAAGCTTTGACAGTTAACGACAATACATGTTTTACGATAAAAATATTGTTTTCAGTTTCACCAGTGGCGTGCGCACAGGCATGTCTTTGTATATTTTTAAAGAAAAAAATGATACGCCACAGATTTTTCTTAAAATAAAAAGTATTTTTCAATTCCCTGTTCAATTTGGAAAAGAAAAGGTATCGCGACTGTTTTTCTTATGACGCACTGTTTTCGAGTGAAAAAATTAAAATCGATTTATTGCATGGCGTAATCCGGTTTCAATAATTAGAAAAATAGCAGAAATTACACACTCAGTTTTTTTTTGTACCAATTTTATTACAGAAAATTATTACTCCTCGCAGTTAACATCAGTTTAAAAAATTTAATCAGTTTTTAGATTCACTAACTAAATAGAAATTAGCAAGTTGGCTGTGCACTCGTTTTTGTTATTACATGACAAAATTTTGAGTCACTTTGAGTGTTTGAGTGTGAATTCATGTTAGTTGTGCGAATGAACTTCTGCAGATTTATGTTAAACGCCGATATGGAAGATGCACCTTTTCTCAGAAGAATTTTTGGGACCGATGAATCCAATTTTAACCCAGAAGGAATTACCAACTACCATAGTGCTCATTTCTTACAAACTTTAACACCCTGGAGATCGGAAACTAAGCGTTTTTGGAATATATCACAAATCACTTGTACTATAACCTCCTGCAAGGAGTGCATCGACTTACCAAACACCCTGTATCTTCCTGCGAAACATATTGTGAGGTAAGCCCACTGAAACTTTTTTAGCTGTCGTTGTACTGTTACACCATTTTCTATACGTCCCGTGTAAGCAAATGAAATTACCTTATATGATGCTCGTGTGGTGGGGATTCAGATCTGTCTCTAGGTCTGTTGGCTAACAGGGCCGAGTTCGTCAAAAAGGACAAATTGTTTTCCTCCATTAAAGAGGCCTGCATGAACTTTTTTCCATTAGTTAAAATAGCTATGTGTTCAAAACGTATTTTTAATATTCTTACCTGCACGTTGGTGGGTATATGGTCGCCATACAATGTGGGGCTGTGATTCATAGTCGGACTTTTTGATGTGGCGCCCCTGTACATAAATCAAAACATGAAGGCATTTTATAACAGGCGATTGTTGGAATTTAAACATGAATGTTAGTAAAACACCAAGATGTAAACAAGAAAGCGAAGTAAAAAAGAATTAAAAAATACCGACCTGTTTGAAGATGGTCTTTGGTTTGGGAGAATTGAGAGAGCGAGTATTTTTTGACATTCTAGACAATATGTTTCCTTTTATCGACATATATTTGTCAACCTTTTCAATCATTTTGCCTAGAAGTAAATTTAAAGCAAAACTAAAACGGAATAAAATAAAATCTAGTTCGTTCCTGTATGTAAGTTACCTGTCCTGAAGGCCACCTCGCAAGTGTCTGACTGACCGACCAACCGACCGATCCAGTTAAAAAATAAAAAGTAAAAAGAGATAGAAAATGTCATACAGGAACTTTTACAAAGAATTAATAAAAACATGCAGACATTTAAAAGTTTTAAAAAGGTATATTATAAAAAATGTAAAAAACCAATTGAAAATGAATTAAAATTACTATTATTTTGTTTATGGTTTACCTGGTTTAATACCTACTTAACCTTACCCTTTCAAAAGAAGTAGAGAATAAGACTATATCACTTTCATCCAAAACATGCTGTTACAACTAGTACATGTACCATTTTTGTGGTTTGAAAAATCGATCGTGTCTAGCAAAGTAAATGATACATGTACGTTCTGCGCTAACCAAACATTCCATGAAGCCGGCTCAACTATGTTGGTTTTTTTTTCTATGATCTAAATTGCTCTCACAGCCGCCTGTATTTTCGTGCATGAAGGGATTGGACACGAGGACAGGTGTCATAGTCTACGGTTTTAGTGATTTTGTGTTTATTTTTTGATCAAGTTAATAAAATTCTGTCGATTCGTTATATTGGAAATTTATCCCGGCGAGATACAAGCCGAGTTTACACACATGGATATCCGCGGAGTCTTTAATTAAAAACTCCTATTTGTATAGGGCAGCGGAACAAAACAAAAACCTTTCAAGAGATTTTTTAACTGAGCGTTACTGTTATTTTATAAGATCGTCGAGGAAAACGCATTTCCCTGGCGCGAAAAAAGATTTTTTGTGATTATCTCTCGGAATTTCTAAGAAACTGTTCGATTGCAGATCCTAAAGAAGTCCGGAAATAGGAATTTTATTATTATTTATTTAAATTCGGTTCTCTCATACAGGGTGATTCACGGTGAAACTTACAAACTTGGTTACGAAAAATTTGCCCGCGCGATATGCGCTCTGGAAAGATGCCTTTAGTTTTCTTGCAACTTTTCACTAGAGAAATGAAATTTTGTGAACACTAATTTTTTTCTTGTTTTATTAAGCAACTTTGTAGCTATAAATACACTAGGCATAGAAATTAAGGGATATTAAAAAAATCTCAAAATTTTGGGTGATTTTCAAAGAGCTGTAACTTGAAGGGAAATGGTCATAAAAAGAATAAAAAAAAGGAAATTGAAGCTTCAAGTGTCTAGTTTTCAGATCATCAGTTTAAAATTTTTTAGCGTCAGCAGTTTTTGAGTAATCATAAGAAAATCAACGGAAAAAAATTTGTAAATTTTTGCTTTTTTTAAAAAGGTCTATGGACTTCAAAAATTTTTTTTTTGGTAATTTCATTATAAACCTCTTTCAGATAATTTAATTCTCTTCAATTTGAGCGGTTCCGGAGTCTTGTACGATTATTATTTATCGCTGAGTTATCGTCGAGCAAAGCAAAAAAATCAATTTTGACTTTGGGAAGTAATGGTCGTACAGAAAATCCAAGCAGGGTTTTGAAAACTGCAAAGTATTCTCTACAAGTCGTCATAATGAGTTTTTTTTAAAAAAAATTTTTCAGTGGAAATGTTAGAATGTTAGGTTAGAAAAAAGGTAAAAAATTGCATAGTTAGGGATATTTGAATAACTTGGCATAACTTTGCAAATAATTAATAAACTAAGGATATAGACTAACTTTCCAACCTCAAAGTGTCCTAAAGAAACCCTGATAACTAGGAAAAAAAGATCGCAGCGTTTTGAAATTATCAGGGTTTCTTTAGGACATTTTGAGGTTGGAAAGTTACAGTCGATATCCTTAGTTTATTAATTATTTGCAAAGTTATGCCAAGTTATTCAAATATCCCTAATTATGCAATTTTTTACCGTTTTTCTAACCAACATTTTCACTTTGAAAATTTTTTTTTATCAAAAACCCATGATTACGACTTGTAGAGAATACTTTGCAGTTTTCAAAACCCTGCTTGGATTTTCTGTACGACCATTATTTCCCGAGTAATTGATTGCCAAAGATCAAAAATGATTTTTTTGCTTTGCTCGACGATAACTCGGACAAATAAATCGTACAAGGCTCCGGACCGCTCAAATTGAAGATAATTAAATTATCTAAAAGGGGTTCATGATGAAATTACCTAAAAAATTTTTTGAAGTTCATAGGCCTTTTTTAAAAATGCAAAAATTTACAATTTTTTTTCCGCTGATTTTCTTATGGTTACTTAAAAACTGCCGACGCTAAAAAATTTTAAACTGATCATCTGAAAACTAGACACTTGAAGCTTCAATTTCTTTTTTTTTATTCTCTCTACGACCATTTCCCTCCAAGTTACAGCTCTTTGAAAATCATCCAAAATTTTGGGATTTTTTAAATATCACTTAATTTCTGTGCCTAGTGTATTAGAAGCATTAAATTTTAATAAATTAACATCTTTCATTGGCTGATTGGAATTTCTATAAACTTTCTAGATTTGGTTCTTCTATTTTTTGTAAACACGGCACAAAAATTCTTATAGCACTAATCGATGCATATTTATTTATGCGAATCCTGAAAATTTTAAGTTTAAAGAAAACTACTGGCAACGTTTTTTTTTTAATTTAATCAACTGTCCCGCTATGTCCATGGTGAGCATTCTTAAGTGAACCACCCTGTAAAACAGATTTTTATTCCATTTCCTTAAATACAGTTTTATGGCGACATTTTAACATTACTTTATTGATTTATCATTTTGACAGATACACAGGGTGACCTTTTTTATCCATATGTAATTCGCGGATTTTTGAAGTTTGGTGGGGGGGGGGGGGGGATATTGGGCGACATGCAAAAGTAATGTAGGCAAGCAGAAGCTTATGTATTGGTGTATTTGTGTGTGTGTCTGGCTTCGGACCTCTACGTTTAGTTAATTCACTGAATTTCAAAACAAAAATAAAAGCACTAATCCTCTAAGAACTATTGTAACAATAAAAATAACCAGCAAATTTTCTAAACAAGCTACACTGACTTGTATGTGTTAATGGTAGGGACGCGCTAGTCGTTCGATCTACAGGTGCTAGCAATATCCGTGACATCTTTACCGTTCAAATATCAAAAGGTTGAATATTAGTTTTTATATAAAATGTGATGGAAGTTTTCTTTTTAACTGTAATTTTCGCGTATTTTTGAATCTACATATTATCAATTTTTATTTGATGGTGACACTACAGGGCATGTCAGGTTTAACACCGGACCCGACAAATAAGTTTTTCCATATGGACATTTTTCAAACATTTTTCTACGGTAACATGATTTTCAAGAGGATCAAAGAAGACATTAGTTTGACATGTTCCGTCAAGTTTGTCTTGCATTTTAATACAAATTAAAAAAGCCTTATGGAAATATTGCGGATTATTTTCACTCGATATTAAATTACTTTTTTTTTTATTAAATTCATTGAAACAATTGCACCTGGTTGTTGAGATGATTTGATATTGCAACAGTTTGAAAATTGGCATTAATTTGAAAAATATGCAAAGGCATGAATCGAATTCGACGTTAAATCTAATTCGCCCTGTATATTCCGGAGATGTTCATCAAAGTGTAGCATAATAGAATGTAAAAATTGGAATTGATAGAGTATGTTCTTTATCCATGCCATATAAAAGAATGTAAGAATAATTTGATTATAGGTATTTTATTTTGTTTGTAATATATACAAAGTCATTTTTCCTCAATAAAAAATGTATTTACAATTTGACAAATAATTCCTGGAAAAAAAAATCATGTTTACGCTACTGAACAAAATCGGGGTTTGTTTAACGTTTGCCGAATGCCATTTTACTTATGAGTATAGAATTTTATTTTAATATCCTTATTATATTTAGAAATATATCTAATTGCTTTCAAATTTCAACCTGAATCTTAAGAAAAGAATGATCCAAGCTACATATATTTCTGTTATAAAAAAATATTCTTAAATTTGGAACAGGGATAAATTCGTTTTTTACATTTCCTTATGTTACGCCTTGTATATTTGACTTAGGGAAGGAAAATTGAAATTTCGAGTGCTTATCCATTTCTATAAAGCAAATGTGATATGTGACATCTTAAATATCATTGCTACTTAACCCCTGCTGACATATAGTGAGTTACTAATTTGGAGGTGGTTTGAAAACATGATTAGTACGCACTAGGCGGAATAAACACTTTAACTAACAGTGTTGTGGGAAACAACTATTTACCCAGACCGGCATTGAATTACACCCTCGGTATCTAGTAAATAGCTAAAATCATTCGTCAGGAGAGTCACCGGACATAGAAGTTTCGACCCTATTAGTTCTCATCAGTACGCCATAATGATACGACCAATAAACGATTTAGCTATTAGGTTGTCTATTTACATAGCTGTTTTGAGTGTGAGGTATATATGATATATTCTGCATAGGTTTTATCTCACCCACCTCAAAATAAGTCTGTAGATAGACATCTGAATAGCTAAATCATTTGTCGGTCGTCCTACCTATGCCATACTGATGAGGACCAACAAGTTCGAAACCAGTCCATGTCCGGTGGCCCTCCTAACGAATAATTTTAGCTATTTACTAGATATTGCGGGTGCAGTTCAATGCCAGTCGAGGTAATAGTCCGTGGAGCAGTTGTTTCTCACAATATCACTAGTTGTATGTATATATTTGACCTGTACAAGATGTACGTGTTCTGGACTTCTGAAATGTTATGTACTATGTAATTAGTCTGTAATTTCCACAAAATTAAGTTAGCAATATTAAAAATAGAATGTATAATTGGGCCGTATCCCCATAACACTACACAACATTAACGCGACATTACCGCGACATCAACGCGATATTACCGCGACATCAACGCGACATTATCGCGACATTAAAGCGACATCTATGTGACATCACTACAATATTAAAATAATATGTAATTTCGATGTTGCGACCATGTATTTGTCTAACAAATTCACTATTCACTTGAAATATAATATGTAGTACTAGTTAAAATTTCTTTAGTGTAAAAGAAATACGGGGGTAACATTGAGGCGACATATTTTAATGTTACATTGCTGCCGTGTAGCGTCGTGAGGATACGGTGTTACAGTGAAATAAATGAAAACATTTTTTAAATCGAATGTTTCGAAGGAATAATCAGAAATTATTCGTGAGTGTTTTCAGTATTTTTTAAATTTAGTTGGGGCCTACGAACGCTTAAAATATAACTACAATAAAGGATATTTTTGTGTAAGAGAAATCCCCCTTTTTATTCAGCGTTTTAATTGTAATGTAGTGCTTTATTAATTCGTATATTAATGACTTTCAACAAAGAAAATACCAGTATACTGATTTTTCCGTCATATGTACAGCTGTGGATAAAAAAGTTTCCAGTCTAAAACATTTAACATGGTTTTAAGAAGGAAACAAGTAAGTTGTTATTGTCTACGGCTGTACATTTTTATCCTTTGGCTACTCAGTATATGTCAGCATTAAGTGTTAGGGGGTAAATACGATTTTTTAAAATTAGTTGAACAATGTCGTAATATATTTAGGTAGTTTGAGAGAATATTGTAAGATGGGAACTGTTTGGAACGAACGAGCAGCACGACCGTTATCAGCGCATCAGCTTGAAGCAGAGCGAGCCGAGCAGACAGCAGCACACGGCAGGGGGCGGCGTCGCAGCTAGGCGCTGCGCGACGCGTTTTCAAATGGTGCTTACTGTGCGCAGTGGGGTGGAGTGGGTGATGGGGTTGGGTCATATTTCCGTGGCCGGCCACGCGACAGGTGGCGGCGCTTCACGAATTCGGCATCATCCACCATCCAGAATGACCCAAAGTCGTCTTCGTAGCGCACAAAACACTTGTGGAGTGACAGATTGGTGCGAATCGCATTCTATACACCCAGACCCAAGAAAGAGAAAGATAACAATCAAGTAAGGTCAAGGTTAGTTTTTGCTCAGAGGGCGACACCTGATGGTAATACCTTCGGTCGGCTACGTCTATAATCTCGAACTCCTGCAGCCTGAGAGTTAGTCGCCCAAGCCAGCGGCTTGACATGCGGTTACTGAACCGGCTAGACACACTTTCACTCACACCACACAAGCCACACATGTTAATGTATAATAATAATAATAAAAAAGATATATAAAAAAGATGTAAAAAAGAGATTAGAAAAAGATGTAAAAATCACAAAACACACAATGTACAAATGTAAAAAGTCAAAATGATGGGCCTCGGTGACGTACCCGACGACTGGTTGGGCCAACGGGCCCGATGAGCAACGCTGCGGCCGCCTCTTGTAGAACTCCACTTCGTCCACTGTCCAAACGGCCCCCTTAACATTCTCCACGCGCATGAAACATTTGTGGAGAGACAGGTTGTGTCGCACTGCGTTCTAACAACAAATTAAACACCTCCAAATGAACAACGACGCTAGCACGGGTGACAGGCAAGCATCGCCATAAAAGAAATACATATAGCCTTATAAGTTAACTTTTTTTCAACGCGATTATTATTCGGTGATCGAGCCGGCCACACCATATTCGCGATCCTTCTACGGATAGTCCAGAAAATATAGAGTTGGGCGCGACTTTTTGTTTCGGCAAGCTGAATTTATCACTATAGATGCTAAATATTATGTACAATAACATTTTAGTTTCCACAGTCATAAAAATGGGGGGGGGGGAAGATTGTTTACAGTGTGGTTAATTGTATAGTTTTTACGTAAATTCACGTTTTTCGCTAATAACTTTTTCCGTTCATTTCCACGAGAAAACACTAAAGTACTTTTTTTTCGTCCTCAAAAGACCTACAAAACTAGCCCTCGAGCAAAAATATTGATTAGATCAAAAGTTATAAACAGAAGAAGTTTATTTGTGACTTTTGAATTAAACATCGCATCCTCTCATTCCTTATCACTGTCTATAACTCACACGAAATCTGGAATCGGTAAGTTGAATAGTTTCAAGTTATGGCCTTATAAACAAATTAACTGATTGTTAGTCTGGACGATCCCGAGCATCTTCCACAATCGCACTGATTTTTTTCATGATAGATTTCATAGTAATACAATGAAATCTATAATTTTTTTTTAATTTTAAATTTGCAACCTGGAATTTTTTTAATTATTTAGCCTTAGTTGCAAACGACGCACGAGGGTGATATAGTTATATATTACTACATATTCGGAAAGCTTATGAAAATAGCTTTAAGTTAAAAAAAATCGTCAAGATTCGTTGAAATACAGCGGAGTTACAGACTGTTAAAGTTGACGGCCTATTGTTAATCAAATTAGATTGGTAGCGGCAAAAAAAAAATACTGTCATAACCGGTAACCCGAGTACTTTCCCAGGTAAAAATATTTTATTTGTGGAAGTATGTTAAGTGCATAAGAAATATTGTCAAAAGTCAGTGGGTCGCTTGATTTTAGGCGAGCCGTGGCGCGGCGGATGGGTGGGAGAAGCGAATGACAGTGAGTCCCAAGAAAATGACGATAATATGCATATTCCTGCCGTTAAATAAGCGAAACTCGCTTGAAAATAATATATTTGACAGTCTGTAACTCCGTTGTTTTTCAACGAATCTTGATGATTTTTTTTTTAACTTAAAGCTCTTTTTATAAACTTTCCGAATATGTAATAATATATAACTATATCACGCTCGTGCGTCGTATATTTCATTTTTTTTTTAACTTAAAGCTCTTTTTATAAACTTTCCGAATATGTAATAATATATAACTATATCACGCTCGTGCGTCGTATATTTCATTTTGAACTAAGGCGAAAAAATTTCCGGGTTGCAAATTTGAAATTAAAAAAAATATATATAGATTTCAAGGTATTTATATGAAATCTACCTTGAAAAAATCATTGCGATTGTGGAAGATCCTCGGGATCGTCCAGACTAATAATTAGTTTGTTTATAAGGCCATAACTTGTAAACTATTCAACTTACCTGTTCCAGATTTCGTGTGTTATTAGACATTTTTATGACTGTGGAAACTAATATGTTATTGTACATAATATTTAGCATCTATAGTGATAAATTCAGCTTGCCGAAACAAAAAGTCGCGAAATGGTCATTTCTCAGCTTATTTTCCTGGCCTACGGATATCCATTTTTTCTGATGTTAGCTGAATTTTACAATTATTATTATTTGAATGAATTTAAATGAAGGTTCATTTATCTAAATGTGAGAAATAATGCAAATATTTTTGGATAAATCAGACTTCGTATCAGCGGTGACTAAATAATTACCTATTCTAATTATAGATGTGTATATTAAGATAAACTTTAAAAATTTTCTTAGAAACAAATTATTTACAATAAAGAAAATATTTTCCGATGATTCCACCGATATTGAATCATGTGCAGCGTCATCACACGAAAATGTTAGATTTGATTGTAGAACTTCATCGTCTATGAATACAGCATGTCCCAATATTCCGTGTACCTGCATAGAGCTGCCGTAGTTACATGTTTATATTGAACAGTTTTTGTGAATTAGGATGCATTATTTCGTTTGTGTTATGAAATAAATTATTTTGAATCGAAAATGCATTATTAATGAACTAATAAAAAAATATAATTAACCAAACCGAGTACAAATCCAAAAATTTTACAAAAGAGAAACATTTTTAATAAAAACCTCACTTCAATAGACAAAATTATGAGCAAAAAAGTCATTTGAAAAAAAAAGTCAAATTTAATGCCCTCTAATGCGGCTAAACGAATAGAGGTAGGTTTAGTAAAATCTGCTTATTTTGATCGCAGGAAACCGTGGTAACTCCATGTACAAGGAATATTAGAACACCCTGTATAAAAGTGAAATATGGAATGTTGCATATTTTAATATATTATGGTCGAAGGCTTTGTCAGGCCTACAGTACTTAGAGACAGAGTTTAGTCTAATAGTACAGAAAAAAGAATGTGCCATAAAATAATATACCAGAAAGAGAGAGTCAGCTATTTAAACAAAAGCGGACCCACTACCTTGTGGCAAACTTTTTAGCGATATTTCCCGTGCTATTAGACATCAGTGACATCACTATGTCACTGAAATCCCGAAAAAGCACAAAAGTAACACAGGATTTGAATTGTGCGCCATTTTCATTCTGAAGAGTTGGCAGCATTGTGCTGGGTCACATGTACGGAGAGTGTGTAGCTGAGACTGCGCAAATTATGTTGAATTTTCAGTAAAAGAAACAAAAGATCTGAACTGCATCTTCATCCTTTTGTTAAAATCCGCTGCATTGTGCTTTTTGAAATGTTTAATTGCAGTGGCACATTGCACACTGAGGTTACGGGAATTTCATCATTCAACTTAGTAATATTTTTGACTGAATGGCCAGTTTGTTCAAATTTGGCAACTAATCTTCTCACAGTTGTTTCATTCGGGGCTTCCCTCTACTGTAAATTTCGCACATCTCAGCTACACACTCTCCGTACCTATTTGTCATGAATTTTCACAATCTTCACTCGCTCATCGCTAGCGCTACATTTTGTCTAATCGCAACGTGTTTACTACAAAATGTAACTTTTACACAATGCTGCCAATTCTTCGGAATGAAAATGGCGCGCAATTCAAATCCTGCGTTACTTTGGGAACACCCTTTATGAGAAATATAAGGAACGCGATGCTCATTTTTTATGACAAATTAATTTCTCGTGACGTAAGTTACCTCCAAATTTAACATTTTCGTTTAGGGTGTAAGGTTATTGTCCATAGAAGAATTTTAGTTTACGTAACATAAACGCTACAAAAAATATGTTTTCAAAAAGGCGTATTTTTCAGAGGCCTACCTTACCTAACCTTTACCGATCAAATATTATAAAAAAAACTAAGAGGTTATCGAAATTCGATTTTGTTAGATATTTATAAGGCTATATCTTTTTAACCGTGTAAAATAAAATGAAAACAATTCAATTTTAGATATTAATAAATTATAAATTAATAAATAAATAAAAGCAATAATAATTTAAGTTAAATAATTCAGTAATTGGTAAAATTAAAAACATACATGCAAGCTAAAAGCAGGTAATTAATAACCTGAAAATGACTTATTTTAGACACAGAAAATACTTTACCGAAAAGTACATACAGTAGCACATTAGCTTTAAAAATGAATAAATTAATTTAGTTAATTTAAATTATTAGTTACTACATATTTTAAAGACAATACTAATTATATAAAAAAACTTGCATGACGATATCCCTATAGATATTAAAAAAATTGTGATTATTACTATTTATCAAAAATTGGAATCACACCATACCTTCCAAGTAGCAGCATTCCTTCTAAAATAGCAAAACGTGTTTTGGAACCAATTGTATATTTCGTTCAAAGTTAGCTGTTTATCAGGTGACTCTATAATCGACTGAAAATACAGTGAGAAACGATTATTTCACTCAATATTCCTCCTATTCACTCCAAAACTTACCTGACGGATTAAAGACGCGTAAGTAAAAGGGGGCCTTACATCAGCATTCTTGTAGAATTCCCTATTCCTTTGGATCTCTGAAATTATAACAATTTATGATTTCCCTCACATGCATCGACATTGCTTCGAAAATTCTCACGATTTGAAATTAAAGTCACAGTAATTTAATTAAAAAGTACCTTGTTGTACGTCAAGTCCAGCTCTTTCAAGCATATACGGTAAGCCTAGTACAGCAGCATGGGGAAAAATAGTATATTTCAACATTTTTTTGAGGATTAAAGAAGAGTAAACGTCAGTGAATTATACGCAGGGTGTTTAATTAAGAATGGGACACAGCGTAACATGAGATTTTTGGGGTCAATATAGACCGATTCGTGTCTATTTCACATGCAATGATACATCTGTTTTGTCTCGAGGATATACGCATAAAAAATTTCTTGCTTCAAATGTACAACATTTGATTTTAAGGTATCGCAAGTACAGAACTTTTGTTTTTTAATATTGACAATAAGATTATTGCAGTCACACCACTTCACAAAATAATATTTTCACAATTTGCAGTAAGTTCCTCGAGGGTCCGTGCCGAGATCACTAGAGACGTATCGTCAGCAAACAACGTTAGTGCGGAAGAGTCAAAATGTTGTACCATATCATTAACATATAGCAAAAATATTAATGGACCCAGCACGGATCCCTGACGTACGCCTAAATCAATATTTCTAGTTCCCGAAGTACACTCATTTATTTTAACACGCTTGGATCTATCAGTGATCAGATATTAATGTATCGTTTGTTTAATACAACATTGACTATTTTGGTCAAATGATTGTATACAGGATGTGGCGAGTATAATCTATAAAAATTAAACTACAGCTTCCTGATGCTGATTTGAATAGAAAACTCTAATACGAAAAAGTTCTATCTTCGCGTTTTTTTTTGTAAATTAAAGTGCATTTATTCAACGAAAATGAAGGCCGACCCTGTGTTATTTATTAAAAACTTTGGAGATGTTTTTATGTGACCCGAGATGCAACCTTATAATTTAAGTCGGTATAATCTAATACTAGTAATACTAAAACAAGGTTAGGTAACATTGTCAAAAAATTTGTGCAGTCAACTGATTTTGTATTTGTATTGAATTCATTATTCACGTAATTATTAAATATTAAGCGTCGGTGTTAAAAAGTGAAAGATCCCAGACAAAAGTTTTTATTTTGTAATTCCTCGATAGTGACAGTGTAATTTTTATAGAGAAGTAAAAACATTAAAAACGAGATTCTTATTTCTTACTTTGCTTAATTTTTTAGTTTGTGCACAAACTAGTTTTACAATGAACCGAGAAAACAATGCATTTACTATTTCTGAACGTGTCGGTGTTGGTGTATGGTGCAGCCGGAGAAAATGCGCTGGCGGCGACTATGTTGTACCGGGAACGATGGCCATAACGTCACCCCCCATGTGCAAATACAATCCTACAGTGCGTTCAGCAGTTGCGAGATACGGGAAGTGTTATTCCTCGAGGAAAAGGATGTGGTCAGCAAGTGAACCTTAATGTTGAAGATGCAGTGTTGGAAAATCTTGACGAAGACCCCACAATTAGTACTCGACGATTCGCACAGCAAATAGGAACTTCATCTCGTACCGTACATCGCACTTAAGGCGCCAGCTGTTGCACCCCTATCATCTGCAACCAGTTCAACAAATACCCCCGGATTGTGATCAACGAATGCGTTTTTGCAGATGTTTTTTACGGCAATGTGCCAATCAAGTAGACTTTCCTGCTTGCCTGAATTATTGGACGATATGGCATTACAAGTTCGGGCACGCATGTTTTATCTTCAAGATGGGGCTCCTCCACACAGTACTCGAGAAGTAACGACACTTCTGAATGAAATGTTTTCTCAGCGAGGGATTGGACGCTTTGGTCCTGTACCGTGGCCACCTCGGTCACCCGATCTAACTCCGATGAACTTTTATCTTTGGAGTCATTTGAAGTGATTGGTTTACAATATTCCAATTGCTACGGTGGAAGAATTGCGAAACCGTATACTTGAATCTGCTGATACAATTAGGGGAATACCTGGAATTTGGGAAAATATTCGCCAAAATTGGGCGCATCGGTGCCATGCCTGTATTCACGCTCGCTAATGGGGATCAATTTCAACATTTTCTCTAGAAATGGTAGGCTTTATTTCATTTTGTTCCATATTTTAATGGAGTTTGTTTAGTGCACGCAGTTGGCAACTATAGATGCTTACGGATGTGATTTTGTTTGCGAACTCTTGCAGTAACAACAATGCATTTAAGATAGTAATCACTATTAATTATTATAATAAGAAAATATCAGTTTTTTTTTTTAAATATCTATTTTTCTTAGTTTGTACTTTTGCACTGAAAAATGCCCCAAAAATTGAGAAGTATCTTTCTATCTTTCAACGACGATTTGTTTACGCGGCTGATCTACAGCACGTAACTCATCGTACAGCACACGGACAGGACCGTTTCAGAGAAAATATTTTGCTCCATAATTGAACTTTGATTTACGAAAAATAAAAACGCAAGTATAGAACTTTTCGTATATGACTTTTCTATTACAAATATCGTTAGGAAGCTGAAGTTTAATTTTTATAGATTATACACACCACACCCTGTATATATTTACAAATAATATAAATTCTAAGAAAAATTATAGATTACCGCAAATATTTCACATAGTTTGATGAAAGTATATACGTTTGAATAGAATAAAATAACATTTACAGCAAATAATTCCATTTAAAACTATCTGCTCTGGCACTGTGTCCCATCCACCCTCTATAAAAGACCCTTTCGAAAACGGAACCGTTGATTATCGCATTATTAATTTGCAATATTGCCGCAATTTTCAAACGATAAAAAGTACTTACCCCCGGCCAAAGACAGCGCAGACTTATCGCTCAACCTTCTCCGAATGGGTCCGGCTACGTTTGGTGCCGGCGAATGAAGAACTGGTGACCTCACAGCGGAAACCATGGGACCCATCGAAACGGGGGGTTGGGGTAAGGACGCGGAGACGGGCATTTTCCCCGAAGACACTCCTGACGCGTCTTTGTGGGGATCTGGCGACCCCATTTGTTTAGATAGATGAAGATGATGCATCATCGCTTGGAGGCGATCCCTTTCCTTTTGTAGCTGTAGTTCTAATTGGGATACGACTTGCATCTGGACTCGGGCTTGAGCAGTCGATCTGTCGTCTAGTGTGTGTTCCGTGTTTAAATGCCTGAAAGTTTGGGAGATGAGGATGGGTGTATTTTAAGTTCGATGGAGGAGTCGGGATAGTTTGTGAAGACGTGGAATGCGTGTGAAAGATTATCACAACCAGATCATTGAAAACGTCATTGGGGAACTTATTTGCCATACTTCTAAAATGTTTGACAGTGTTCATAAAGACGGTGTGTGAAAAATAGCCAGCAATTCTTTAAATGAAAGGGAATAGTTTGTGAAGACATGGAAAACTGTTTGTGAAAGTTCATTTTCACAAACAAATTATGGACAACGTCTTTGGATAACTTACTTATTATACCTTCGAAAATATGTAGCAATTTTGCTTTCACTCATAAAGATCTTGTGTATTAAAAATAGCCTTACTTTTGTTTTGCTAATCTTTTGAAAAAAAAAAAAAGAAATTACTTCAGTCTATTAAATTTGGTGCGAAGAAACATAATCTTCGATCTTAGAATAACAAATTCTTAATATCAAAATTCATAGATCTTTATTGTGAATTGAAGTACTTAGAAACTAGGATAAAAATAATTCTAAATTTTTAGGTGATTTTCAAGAAGCTCTAAGTCCGCGAAAAATGGTCGTAGAACAATTTAAGGAAAAGCAAATTAAAACTTGAAGTTTCTAGTTTCAGGATCTGAAAGTCAAAAATTTTTATCAGCAAAAAAAAATTTACTAAGCTTTCAAAAAGTCAAGGGGCTTCAATACTTTTTTTGACGCACTAATCAGCAATTTTAGTTTCATTCATTCTCTTTAATTTGAGTTGTTCAAGAGAGAGAGTTCAAAAAGACGTATTTACGATGATTTGACGTTTATTTATCGTCGTTAAAAGCAATACTTTTTTTGGTTTCAATTTGCTGTTTTTTTAAATCGCTTTACGATCATTTTTCGCGAAATGAAGGTCACTTAAAAATTTAGAATTTCTTTTATTCATTATTTTTGACTGATAAAATATTAGATGTGGCGCGGTAACTATATTTTTCGGGGTAAATTAGGTATTTATAAAAAAAAATAATGGCGAGGCAGAGGAAGTAGAAAAGTGGGATTCTGTTTTAATATAGGGGTTCCTGCCCGCGCCACTGTCGATCGCGATCGCCCCTTTGAAAAGAGGAAGTAATAAAGACTCCTCGGAAGATTAACATTTAAATCTGGCAACGTGGCGATCAAACGCCTTGCATATTAATTAAACATAGCGTAATTAGAGTTTTTAAACCACGACGTCTTCTTTAATTTATTCCAGGTCGCTTTTTCTTTTGTCGCGAAAAGACGAAGACGACAAAATATTGTAATTTGATGGTTTAGTTAATTCCCCTTTCTTTTACATATTAATCACCTCATAAAATGCTAAATATAAGACAAAATTAATGTTGAATGTTGACTTTGACACAAATTATTTTATGGCCGCCTCTGATCGCTTTTGCCCTCTAAAATTACTATCTCCGAAACTTTTCTCATTTTATTAATTACAAATGTACTCGACACTCCTTTTAGAAACCGGCTTTTCTCTTTTTGCTTATGCAGAGATCCATCTTTTAATATTACTGTGGATTAGTTATTATTTTTAATTTTTATTTAGAGAAAAGAGAAAAACAAAACAATTACACAGTTTCATGACACCCTCCCTACCCAGAAAACACATAACTTTTTATTAAATGCTGTTCACAGTTTCCGCGTTGTTTTGTAAGTATATTTTAATACAATGTAAATCCTAATAAATTCCGATTTATGGACAAACTTTTGTTAAGTTCGGGTCTTTCGGCGATGCAGTTTATTGGCATTTCTCTTATAAATGATGCTTTTAAATTATCTAACTGATAGATTACTTTTGGAGACACTGTAAACAACTGATTACTTAATTTATTTTTATAATAATATAATAAAACAATTATTTCATTCTTAAGAAAATTTTCAAAATGCTTTTAAAGTAAAGTAAACGTAATAAACTAAGTATAATTTTTAATATACTCAAAGAAATCCTGAAATACAATATTCAAAGATTACAATAACCTGAGGAAATGCCACAAATATAAGGTTTTGATTGATTCTTGGCACATATTGAAAGAAAGTATAATGCACTTACTTTATAAATGCTTGTAGATCTTCACAGATGATTTCACATCCTGGCCACTTGCACACGCCATGTCCGTAGAGATGATGAACCCTGTCAGGAGTTGTGGTCCTCTCAGGTTTCTCGTCTAAGGGTTCATCTCTACTAGATCTACTAGGCGCTAAACCTAGTAAACCCGGAGAGTTTTCTATAAAAAAAAGGAAGAGAAATTGTTTTGACCCAGAAAATTTCTTAACTTTCGTATTTAAACATTTTTTAGATTGTACATTAAGTTTTTGTTCATTGTCATATTTTTTGGATTGTTGGGCCGCATTTTTTCGTACTTGGTGAAATAAAAGTATTATTGAAATATAGATATGAAAGGAACGTTTTGATATAAAAAAATTGAGCAGCTTCCTAATTTAATAGTTTTAAGTATATTAACTGAGTTACTGTAACTTTAGTCCAAAATTCATTCCTGCTAGTATCTATTATACCTTTTGAGTACGATCCAATGATTAATAGAAGGTGCCTATAATAAATTAAAATTGCCTGAATCACACCAAATTCCGCATTGCTGCACTGCACTGCTGGGAAATTTGTCAACAACTGAAATTTATGGCCCAGTCGCCCAGTTCGGCTGTGTTTGTACGCCGTTTGCCCGCGCGCGCTTTCTTCAACTGGGCATGCATTACTACCACCTCCACGTTTAGTTCGACCAGACCTGTAGGTATATGGGTATGGCTAAATATGGGAACAAGTTTTTCAAATGTTTCAATGCCGAGTTGCTGTGTAGCGACCGAACCTGGTACATACCGCCTAGCTCTTTGATCTTGATTACTATTGTACAGCTGTGAACAATAAAATGTTTCCAATCTAATCTTGTTCTTTAAACCTTTTTAAACGTTTTAGTTCGGAAATATTTTTTTTTGTTCACAGCGGCACTTTTTGGGTTGTCGGGAAATAACTTTCGAATAAAAAAATGTAAGTACATATTTCCGATAATGAAATACCAAAGTATCTTTTTGTATGAAAATTAATTTTATAAGTTTCGAGAAATATTTTTTCGCCCGTGATGAACATTAATTTTACAAGGTTTAAAAAATTTACGCATCTTTCGAATCTAAAAGTAGAAGTTTTATAAATTTTCGATCACTAGTCACTGTAAAGTATCCCTTTGGTTGAATATTCATTTCTGATTATTTCGATTATATATTTTTGGGTTTCCGGGAGATATTTTTTCGTCCTTGGCGAAATAAAAGGAATATTATGTTGATGCGCCTTATTTTATAGTAATTTTATGCCTGTTTGAGTCGCGGAATATGTAACAGACTTCCAAAGTAGTTTTTATATGTTTCGAAGTATTTGAGATATTGATAATGCATTCCGCTTCACCATAACGCCTTCGCGAATAGTCCGTCAAGTGTGTTTTATAGTTATTTCCCTATATCGAGAAATATTACACCACTATTATGGGTCACATTGAGGCCCAACTTTTGCGCTGACTTTGTGTTATTACTAGTCATAACATCGGGCACGGGAAACCAAGGCCTACTGTAGTTATTATTCGGTGATAACAATATTAATATAAATATTTTGCCTTCGTGCAAGTTTTTATTCATAAAGTTAGAATCCACCTATTGTATCTGGTTTTACAGCTGGTATACATCTTCGGTTGTTTTGATAACTCTTTTTTAAACTCAGCAGTTGTAAGAACATGCGAAAATATACATTAAACCCTTTCATATAAGACAATTATATAACAATAACATACAGAGCAACAAGATCAGTTACACATTTCACTTTTTTCCTGTTTCCTTCGCGATATTTTTAGAGAGAACAGTCTAAATGTAATATATTTAAATGTTTTTTTGTTACATTCCAAACCTTTGATTTACAAAACAAGTCTGTTGACCTCAAAAAATATTTTCAAGCCATTGATGATTGTTGTATAAATATTTGAAGTTCATATATCAGAGAAAATATTATTCGCTTTCCGTTGAATATTTTTTCCGTAATTCTATCAAACGGCGTATAATCACGTATAGAAAATAAATGAACACTTTTATGGAATCACTGTTTAGCAAAATATTTGAAGGGATCATTGGACCCTTAAAACGCAAATATCTTCTATAGCTGTAGCTTTGTATCCAATAGTTTAAATTTAGAAGTTGTTCAAATGAGTTTTAGCTTTTTTATATGTACGGAATTAGTTTTAACATAAGTAAGGCTGACAGAGAGAGCCGCAATCCAATGGCGTGCCAAGCGGGTCAACAGAATGCTTTTCACTTTCACGTCACGTAAGTATACTGTTGCTTTGTTATCGTGCGGATGTTGCGTAGTTAATTCCTATCCGTTGGTGTTCATGGCGGTGTATCGTAGACAATTTAATTAGTTGCTTTTTAATAAATAATGCGTACGCCTATGTCCCGCGGCTCGGTTCTGACAGCCCTAAACATAAGATGTTGGCTCTACAGGGTGTCGTGAAATTAGTGTGTAATATTTTACCAGTCCTCCGTTGTACGTCTAGAAGAGAAAAAAATCAGATAAACATAGGCGGACGAATAAATCTTAGCAACCTCAAAGTTGTTTTTCCAGATATCCAGAACTATTCAAGATAAAACGAAGAGTTAAAAGTTGTCTAAATTTCATTCAAGACCGTTCTTTTAGAATTTTATTATTTTTTAAAAAATTAAGAGAATTGGACATATTAAGCCAATGAATAGTCAACAGTGCCTATATCGCCCATTTCCGTCTTTGTATATGGCGTTAAAGAAAAAAGAGTCGAGAGCTCTCGATACAGGGTGTAAGAAGTTTGACTGCCATTAATTCAGCATGACTTGTCCTACGGAAAAAATGTAAACAGCTATTATTGTGAAACATTTAGTAAATTTCAAGACAATTGTTTTCCAGTTTTTAAATAAATAAAATAAAATGTATCGATTTTGTGGTACGAAGATAGTGTTGTGCTTAAATTTTAGCTCGAATTTTAGTAATTATGAATCTCTTAAAACAGGAACTTAATTTTTATTCAAATTGCGTATTTGAAGAATATGTAATTAAAGTACCCAAATATTCACGTCGTCCAAATAATCATATGTATTAAAAATAATTTAGGTACTTACCAAAAAGCAAAATTCAGTACAAAACAAATTACAACATATGCTCAAAATGTCCACTACCGTTTTCGATGCACGCACGACACTTTCAAATCCAATTTTCGCGCACTCGCCGGAAAACGCCTCAATAAAAGGAAATAGTGGTACTCAAAAAACACTCCGACACGGTCGAATCCAGATACCACCTGAATTGCGTATTGGTGGTTGATGGACACCTTAGTACCTCGTGTTAATAAACCGTCGCGCCGTTGTCACATTGCTCGATATGAATTTTATCGAATTTTAAATTTATTACAACGCTAATTATTTTTTAGAATTAAGCATAAAGAAGTTAAAAAAAGTGATAAACATTGCATTTTATGGTATTCTATGCGCGCAGTTATGTCAATATTCCTTAATTAATCGAACATTTGTACATCAAGTTGGGGATTTTGATAATTTTTTTCTCGGGAATGGTCGAGTTTAGGACCCATGTCATATAAGGTTTTTTTGTTTATTTTAATGTATTCTATCATCTGTTAAAATTAAGGCAGTTAAACTTCTAACACCCTGTAGTTTCATTTCTCGATTTGTCAGTTTCCAACTTAAGCGTTCCCTTTCGTCTCGTATGCGTGCAAGCTGGCAAGTATGTTATTAATTTCAAATTTTGCGCGAAACCCAGATATGTTGGTGAATGTAATGGCTTAGAAATGTGCGTTTGTAACAGAAGTGTCGGATATCCGGTGGGATAAATCCTTATGTCCTAGAGATATACGGTTTGGGCTATGTTTAGCCCCTATATCTTTTAGATTGTGGGTACACATGTTCGCAAGTGACCCATTTTTAAGTACAACGTCAATAGCGCCATCCTGACGCCACGATGCACCAGGGTTCCCGGAAGACAACCCCGGCAAATTGGCACCAAGGACCAGATACTTCTACGAACGACTCCACACCACGAGGACCAACTCTCCAACGAACACTAGCCCCGACAACACGTCTTTTTTCACAAGCTTAGTTTTCAATAAAAATAGTTTATTTTTACCGTTGAGAGAGCTTTTTTTTGCTGTACAGCGATAGCAACCCTCAAGATATTGTACCGCATGTCCCAGAGATGTAATATCCCTCTTATTTCCTTTCGCAATTGTAATATGAATGATAATAGAAGGTGCCTATAATATATTAAAATTACTTGAATCACACCAAATTCCGCATTGCTGCACTGCACTGCCAACCTCTTGGTTCTTCAATTGATATCGGAAAGATTATACTTGATTTTTCTTACAAATTATTGAAAATTATTAACATTAAATCTGTACGAGTCACATAACCAATGTGATTGCCGTTTTTAACAATCTTCTTGTTAGGTTAAGTGATTACAAATCGTTTGCGCTGGTAAAATATTCCACACTCTTTTCGGGACATCCCGTATATATTTGCGAAACAGAAAAATATGAGAGACTTACCGTTCAGTTCTGGAGGAGGTTTGTTGTTGACCACGTGCTGGTCGTTCAACTCCTTCCAGGGGCTCATCACTTCCCTAGAGTTCAGACCTGTGCGACAGTAAAAATTTCATCAATTAGAAATGGAAGAATAGCATGACGGCGGTACACGTGCGTTTAAAACCGATTGGACAGGCGTTTTCCAGCGCAGAGGTACGGGGTACGGGGGACACAATGAAAGGATACTGGATAGAGGAACGGGCAAGTGCCAATAGTTTTAACCGCACGTGATGTCCGTCTCGATTTCAGGGCCGGCTCGAAGGTTAGGCGTTCGCCTCGGTCGTCCTCGGCCCAAGAATTTTTTTGAGAATTGGCTTTGGTGCAGACACCTGGGGTAAAATTATTGTCACTTGTCGAAATAAGTATACATTTTCTTACGTGCAAATGTGTGTAAAAAAAATTTATCTTTCGCATAATTTTTTTCTTACATAATGGTTAACTACGCCACTGGAAACGTTTCAGCTGTAATAATTAATTTCGACAGTTTGGCCGTTTGAATTACATTTATATCTTACCTACATTGAACCGAGTTTTTGCATATTTTCGAAAGTTTAGTAAAAATATCAATTACTGTTTCACAGACCAACAAAATTTAACTTTTTTTGGAAGCAGAAACTTGAATATGTATTTCCGAAGGATTTAGGTGCGCTGAATCCGAATCTGGCAGCAGAATTGCTCTATCACGTCAGGTTTTTGAGATATCCTAACCTAAAAGTGCAAAAACCACTGTTTTTCGTCATATTTGAGGTTATGTAGTAATTCTATTCTTTTAAAAAAAATACATATAATTTAAAAGTACAAGGCTCCCTCTTTCGAATGCCGTTGAGTTTGCTCAAATATCTTTTTTTTTTCGTTGAGATATCACATGTTGAAATTTTTAAGTTTCTCAGTATTTTAATCTGCGAAAATCTGCTAAGGATCCCTTAGACATCAAGCAGTCGTTTGCAATTCAGAAACTTCATACCCATACGGTTTGTGGGTTTGGAGTTGGTGGGCTTGGGGTTTGTAAGCTTGGAGTTTGTAGGTTGGAGTTTTGTGGAATTGGGATTTGTGAGTTCAGGGATTATGGGGTTGGGGTTTGTGGGTCCGTGGATTTGGAGTTTGTGAGTTTGAGTTCGTATGTATTAAAGGTTTCTGTATATGAAGTTTCTGAACTGCAATCAACTTAACGTCTAAGACATCCTTAGTAGATTTTCGCATATTAAGAAACTGATAAACTTAGAAATTTCAACATGTGATATCTCAACGAAAAAAAAAAGATATTTGAGCAAACTCAACGGCATTCGAAAGAGGGAGCCTTGTACTTTTAAATTATAAGTATTTTTTTTTTAAAAGAATAGATGGCATTACTACATAACCTCAAATATGACGAAAAACGGTGTTTTTTGCACTTTTAGGTTAGGATATCTCAAAAACCTGCGGCCAGATTCGGATTCAGCGCACCAAAATCCTTCGGGAATGCATATTAGTGTGTCTGCTTCTCGACCCTTGTTGACCTGTGTAATTAATTCAAATCAAAAGTATTTTTTTTATTGAAGGAACAAATTCAAATATACCAAAAAATCACATTGGTACTTACAATATGTAATATAATAACTACTACTGCTACATAAATAATGTAGGTACCAAAATTATTTGATTGTGATCACCCTGTAGGGTGTACAAGGTATCTTCTGCAGGTCAATTTTGTACGATTACTTTTGGAAATTGAACCGGCCCTGGATGTGACCGTCCGTGTGCGTATATCGTATAAATTTCCTGAAAACTGGACGACCAACGTGACAAAAGAAAACCTCCATCAATACTATTAATTAATTAACTTAAGTGGCATTGCCCAAATTTTAGGGTTAAATATCTAAACGAGGGTGAAATGGACAGACAGGATCGGGATATACGTACCTATCGCCGGAATACGCTACATGTCCAATCTTCTCTTTCAAATTATATTCACAGACGGTTTGGTTCTTTTTTAAATAAAATATCAGCACTTATTGATTTCAAATTAAAATTATATACTCGATTTCAGCAAGTCATGCATTACTTTAAATCAGTTTACTAATTTCAAAAGCGTTAACTTGTTAAATTGAATTGAATTGACTTAATTGCATTAATTTATTAATCGAGCAAACTAAATTCTTGATGATCGTCTTGATATGCGGCGAACTTCCCTTTTAATTTTGTAACACGTTTCGTACCTTGACTTTGTGCCATCATTAGGGGTTGCATACCAATTCCCTGATGGACGACGTATTGTCTCTGAACCATCTGTAGTTGTTGTATAAGTTGCTGCTGTTGAAGAGCTAGTTGTTGCAAGGATCCGGAAGCTTTCTTCTTATCCGTACTTTGCAGGATATGTGTCTGTTGGATTAGATTCAATTGCAGTTGCTCTTGCAGCTGCTGCATGGTCTGCTCGATCTGTTTCTTTCCTAATTCTGCCAACTGGTGTTGCTGAAATTTAGAGGCGTTCTGATATTTTTAGGCTTTCTGCGGCGACAGAAAATACACACAGTTGAGAAATTGTCTGGATATAAAACGTTGTTATAAACTACAAGTTTCGGTTAATCCTATTTGTAACAAAGTATATTTTCCAAATTTTATGAAGCACTTTTAGAATAACTACAATTTGGAGCGTTACTAAAGGGTTTGAAACAGTGGCGTACACATAACTTTACTTTAAATATACAGAACTTGGTTATTGTTCATTATAAACGAATCAATAATATTGATTCACTCGTATTCACTGGTGAATGCTCTGTGTTTATGTACGGAAATTACTTGTCCCCTTCGCGAACGCCACTGGGTTGAAGCAAAAGTGTGTTCGAAATAAAATCGCCGTAAATTCTCGACTTACCTGGTGTTGCTGCTGTTGTAATATCGAATGCTGTTTCATTAGTGTTTGTAATTGTGTGGGACTCAGCACATGTTGTTGTAGAAGTTGCTGCATGTGATGGAGATTGGATGCCTGTGTTGACATTATTTGAGGCCCCGGAGTTTGTGACTGATTGTAGGGATATTCGTTAGTTAACTTCGTTGCATCATTCTTTAACAATAAAACAAAAAACCGCGTTAAACTCATAGAGCGCAATCAGCTGGGTTTAAGAGATGTGTAAATCTCGCATTTTCCAGTTTTACATTTCTCCGTTTTTAGTTTCGGTAAATAGTTTATTGACATAGTCAGGAGTTAGTGGTCTTAAAATATTTAGAGTAAGGTCGGTAATTGTCGGATCTGATTTAATACATATTTTTTTACAATTTTTTCAATTTTGAACCATTTTCCAATTTATAATTTCAGAAGACGAATTCAGCAATATAAGGTTACACCTACTTTTTCGTCATAGTTGTTAAAAAAATGTAAAAAATTGTCTTTTATGTCGACTATTTCAAACAATCATAGTCTCTTCTGTACTTTAAAAAACGTACCTTACATACTCTTTATTAATCTTTTTCTACTTACTTTACTTTACTTACTAAATGGAAAAAAAATATGAATTTTATTCCATCATTTTGGGACGCAGTGTATATTTCCAACGAAGTAAACAATTGCATGCAGCCATTAAGTGGCCAAAATAGTAGACAGTGATGCATTTAAGAAAGTTAAAACAGGTGCTATTAAAAAGTTGTAAAATTCTAAATAAAATACTTCTAAATAAAATATTCAGCCACTTCATCAGCCGCGAATGATACGCATGAAATGAAAACTATTTTGTGTTGTTGTGCTAACTAAGGAAATTTAGACTGTTATAAGTTTTTCGTAAATAGTAAATCAATGTATCCAACTCTATTTTTTTTCTTTGTGAGTTTATTATCAAAAAGCATGTACATATACGACCCACAAAGACTATTTACAACTACTTTTTCAAGAGTTATCCTATAGTTCAATATCTCTGCGTCTGTCGGTAGTAGAAGAGCTGTCGCGTGATTGTTTACAGTCTATTTACGTTAAAGTCCACATCAGTAAAATATGTAGTGATACTCCTGTTATCGAAATAAATACTGTTTAGGTATGGTCTTTCCGAAATCAGTTGAACATGTATAAAAACGCCTAGCAATAAAATTTAAAGAGTTTCATAGGCCTCCCTAAAAAAGTTTTCCGTTAAAAGTGAAAAGTAATAATAATTTGTATATGTGTAGAAAATTTCTATTTTAATTATTTGATTATAATTTGATATATTTATATTTAATGATTAATAGAAGGTGCCTATAATAAATTAAAATTACCTGAATCACACCAAATTCCGCATTGCTGCACTGCACTGCTAGGCAATCTGTCAACAACTGAAATTTATGGTCGGTAGCCCAGTGCGGCTGTGTTTGTGCGCCGTTTACCCGCGCGCGCATTCTTCAACTAGGCAGCCAGACCTGTATATAGGTCTGGCTAAATAAATATGGGAAATATTTCAATGCCGAGTTGCTGCGCAGCGACCGAACCTGGTACATACTGCCTAGCTCTTTGGTCTTCAATTGAGATCGGAAAGACTATACTACATAATATCGTTCACTGTATTTATCGAGTTACCTGTGGAATGGGTGGGATAGTGGCGCTGAGATTTTTCTGCGCGTCGGTCGAAGGTGTAGGAGAATGCTCCTGCACCCTGTGTTCCGAATTTGGGCTGGTGCTTCCATTACCTTTGATGTCCCTTTCTCTGTCCTGGTCCCAACCCCTCTCTATTTCGATCTGCTGCTGTTGTTCTTTCAAAACCTTTTCTAAGGAGGCAGCCTGCTGAAAAAAAGAAACACGAAATACGTTAATTTTATTGGTGAAGTCAACACCCTGTATAAATACAGTGTAATACAGTGTGTAACTTTAAAGTGGAACACTAAATCAGACCTATTAAATCTTTAATAGAAAGTATTTATTATCTTTTTAAAGCACTGTGTTTAGGTTGTTCGTTTCTGGTCCAGTCTCTTTTATATTCCCACGAAGTAAGCATTGCACGCGTGGTCATAAAAGTAGACAGGAACGCATTTAGGAAAGTTAAAACAGGTACTAATAAAAACAGCAAAACAGCAACAAAATTAAGCTGGGAAGTCCGGTCCATACAGGAAAGGGTATTGGGATTGCCGTTCAATCCATTTCGACCAATAGTTTCGTACCGCATGAGCTTGATCATTGTTTAGGCGATATAAATATGCCTCCCATCCGACTATTTCTGTTTTTAATTGGCACAGATGAGAGGGTTTTTGGATAGTTTTATTCAGTCGGTACTTAAATTTATGTAGAGTTGGGATTGGAAAGGTAGTGCATGTTTTGGTAGTAAAGACTAAACCAGTTCGTGCATGAAATAAATGTGATTGATTTCCAAAGCGTTGGTTGGATACGAAGGCCCGCATTAGAACGTAGGAAGCCATGTATCTTAAAGCAATGGTCCGGCCATAATACCTGTACACCTTCCGCAGATATATTGCCGCTACTCGCTAAAATAATCCAGACGTAGTGTCTTGTCTGTCCTCCTCGCTCACTTCCCTTAATATCACTATAGTACGCATAAAAAATAGGCCTAAAAAGCCATCATATAGAAGTAAATTATATTCATCTCTGTGGAAGAGAAAAAACATATAAAGAAAACTTTGGATGTGGCGATGATTTAATGCCTAGGGGGACATAATTCGAACGCCACAAGTTATGTTTATACACAAAATATAAAATAAGGCGTAATGTAAATCACTTCGCGGGTCTTATACAGGGGCGTACTTGTATTTTTTTAACATTAAACAGTAAAGGAAAAAATATATGCTCATCTATAAGCATGTCAACTTTTCTTAATAAGATACTATAAAAACTTCTGGATATTGAATTTAATTTTATAGGAGGGTCCAAAGTAAGCAAGACTTTTTTAAAATAAGTACAAAAAGTTTTTTTGGCAATGGATTGTCTTACTCTCAATAGGACTTTTGTAGAGAATAAAAAAACGTATAAAATGGTTTCTTGTGTGACCCGATCGGTTCATTTTTTACAGAGAAAATCCGAAAAAACCTCTAAAATAGACATTTTTTCATAATTCATACCTCTGTCAAATTTTAAGCTGGAAAAACAATCTTGCGGAAAATGACAGATAATAGTAGGGGACCGCCTAGCCGGGTGTCTTCGCCGGTGGATTTCGATCTGCCGAGGTAAGCATCACGGACGCAGGCTGGAATTTGGATGGGTGACCTAAGACAGGCTCGGGGACCTGGCTGTGGCAGCCTACCAGAGACCTGGGTCGCTCAACATTTTCCGCATGCGTGGAAAAACAATTCCACCACTCTCCGACATACATACATGACAGATACTAATGTGTAGTTTAATCGGGCGCAAGATGGTTTCTGTCCGATGCATAGTTTTTGCATTATAAACAAATTAGGGTCTTTTTTTGCACAGCGCAGTGGCGATTTATCAAAAATGGTCCGATTTAAATTCTGAAAATGGCATCTAAAAGTAGACGACACAATCTTCAATTTGCATATTTCGAAATTTTCGCCTGGGTGATGGGAAATATGCTAAAAATGCCCTTGAAAATCGCCCGAAACGATCGAAAGTACGTTCGAGCCAGAGTCCTGCGCTTGCTGCTTCCCCCACTACACTATATTTTATAGGTTTTTTATTCTCTACAAGACGATACCAATATTAGATTAGAGAGTAAGACGATTCCAACATTATTTTTCGAGATATTATAAAAAAAACAAAAAAATCATTTTTCTGCAGTTTTTATTGTTTAAAAAAATGTTCATGACTTTGCTGGGGAAATCACTTGGGTTTTCAAAGGGTAATACATGAAATTTGCTGTAATATTTAAGTGTGCAAAAAAAATCTCTATTGGTTGGCCTATTATAATACAGCGATTTGCATGTTCTAAAAGCATGTCGAATGTGTGTTTTTGATCGTCGGCCAGGATGTCCTTCAGGATGTCGGTATAAACCGTTTGAATGGCTTCTACGTCTACAAAGCGCTTTCTATTTTTCGGCAAATGTATTTTTCCGAAAAAGTAGCACGGTGCCAAATCAGGCGAATATGGCCAACTTCCTTCTGAACCGATGACACAAACACACTGTCACTTCAGACGCAATAACTCAGCTTCTATTCGCCCAAATGTCATGAAATTTTGACAGTAGGGACATATTTTTTTGGTTTTTGTTGTTAATAATCTTATTAGATCATTTATTTGAGACCAAATTGAACCGCTGCAGAATATTACCACGTAATTTGCAAAAGCAACAGTATTACGTTTCGTATTAAGTTTGGGCCATTTATGTAAATATTAAATAGAACTGGACCCAATACTGTACCTTGAGGCACTCCACACTCAACAGTTTTATTACAACTGGTAATATTACCAATAGCGACACATTGTTGCTTATTATGTAAGTACAGAACGACAGAAATAAGCCTGCGTTTCTCTCTGTACATCGAAATATTAAGTGGATGAAATTAAGGAAGACTGTTTCTTTGTAGAGAGTTTTAACGTCGTCCTTATTCAAATTGGAGATCGGTGTGTTTGAATACAGAAAGAAGGGATAAAATTAAAAGGTTTTTATAAACATACTTAAGTATAGGATTGTTTGGAGAAGGGAGAGAGCCGTGCCCTTATTTTTGATATCGCTCGGAAATGGGAATGGAAATGCAAGACAGTTTCCACCTTATGTAAATAAATTAGGTTTAAAATATGGGCCCATTCTGTTAAGTAGATTGTGTTTAAGATCAATTCGGAGTATAAATAAAGGACTATATAATAAAAGAGCTAATGGAAACCCGTGCATAACGAAATAAAAAGGACGGATAATTGACACGGAGCCGGGGGACAATAAAGCTTGTAGGGACGGACGGTATTGTCGCAATAGTAATTGAGGCGCCTGCAAAAAATGAACGACACTGCCAATCGCCAAATATCTAAATCACCTCGAATTAAGGCCTCCTATATTAAATCGGGCAGGGGGGGGCGTGGGGTGGAGTGCCGAACATTACTATACCGTCTTCCGACTTTGGACTATTGTCTATGAAAGCAAGCCGGCTGCTAATATAATAACCCACCCTCTTTGATTTAGATTACAAACAGAAGGGTCTACACTGTTCTGTTTTCGTCGTATTAATGATTCAATATCAATTAGCGGTATACTGAATTATATAGAGCCAATCTTGGGTTTAAAAAGAAAAATTCCCGACTTATGAAAATTCTATTTGTTCCCAAAATTGTAACCCGCTTTAATATTTGATTACCCCGTGGTTTCACGTTACTTGTTTGCGAATCAAAATAGTTACGTTTCCCATTTTTCTCTAATAAAGAAATTACTGTGAGTAACCCTTAAGTAAACACACATCCCGCAATACGCTTCTCATTATATTGTCTGAAGTTACTTATTTACGGCATTGTAATAGTTTTTTCTAGTTTTTTAAATTTTTTTCCACACGTGGCAAAATATCCAAATAAATAAAGAGAATGCACTTCTTGTTCATTTATATGTATACAGGGTGATTCACGACTTATCCAAAAAAATTTGGGAATAGATGCGGCATGGGAAATGGAGCCAATATCGTAAAAAAATTTTTTGTAAAATCCTTATAGTTTCCGAGAAAAAAAATATTGAAGTTGTAGTACATTCAACCATTACATAGCTGGACAACTGTAGTCTCTATAGTCATTCGCAATAGGCGTGGAGAGCCACGTGGCCTCAGCGACTCCGAATACTGAAATCCAATTTGCAATCGTCGTTGCGATAGTATTTACCTGTTATCTGTGGTGTTTACAATAGTTTCTTTGTAGTTAGTGTCAAAAATGGTTTGCGTGTATAGCAATTCGGAGTTAATGGATATCGTTTTAATTTATGGTGAAGCAAGACAACATTTGTATTATGGTGAAGCGTTTGTGTTATGGAGCAGCAAGAGAACATTTGTCTTAGTTCGTATAAACTTAATAAGACGGACCCAAATGTGTTTACACGTTGGTGGATAAAATTTTAAATAATTGTTGTTGTAATATCGGGTATGTCAAATGACTTTATTATTTAAAAACACAAATTAATTTTATTAATAATTAATAAAGGCAAAAGCAGTTGAATTTGCCGATATAAAATAGGTGCGATAAAATTCTATTTACATATTTCTTTCCTTGCGAAAGTTTTTGTCCGTTTTTATCACACTGCCATGCTGGTCGCATTGTGCGAGGTCAGGTTTTACAGTGGACCAGTTTCCAGTGCCGTGCAGAAGTGTATTTTTAAATCATTTTCGAACTGCCCTTTTTGATTTTATCTTTACAAAATTGTATTTGTAAGGGTCCCCTCTACATCCAGATTTTTTTTTGGATAAGTTCTGAATTACCCTGTATTTATTGTCATTACTGAATTCAAAATTTGGCCGAAAATTTAAATTTCAGTAACATGTACAGAGTGAAGCAAAAAATAAGGCGCACATTTCAGGCGAATTAGCAAATAGTCGTTTTCTATTTTTTTTATAATGTTTTTAAAATGTTTTACGATTTTCAACCATTTTATGCGAAAGAGATACATTAAATATTTAATTTAGGATTATATTTTTCTAGAAATTGTAGACAGATACAAAAATGATTCTATGATTTCGAAAACAATTCCCCCTTACCATTCGTCAACATAATGAGATATTTGCGCTGGCGTTTCGTTGCGATTAAATCAGATCTATTGTAGATTTACACTTATTGGGTAAAGAGCGATAATCCCGCTCGACCCCGCACCATCCGAGGTTATACAGGGTGTTAATGATAAGTTTTGCCAAAT